ACAATTCGTAAGCCGTGAATGAATGGGAAAAGCGAGCGACCGATTTCATTCTCGGTATCATTTTGCATTTGAGAACGGTCAATCAAATTAATATCATTTCCTTTTGTTTGGGAAAGAGAGACACTGGCAGCGGTCCACTCTACCCATGATTATGGGTTTTGGTCAAATATCATCTCTTTTTGATTATAATGTCAGGGTACTTTATAAAGTCGAAATATAAACTGATATCTTCATTAATAAGGAGGAAGTTTCAACAATTTCGAAATTTTTCCTTTAAAAACATTTCCTTGTATTTAGGGAAGCATATCAGTCGATCACTGACTGAATATGCCACTTAATACTCATTCAAGTTGGCATTAAATTCATTTATAATGACATTAAACTGTCGTGGCAAAGCAGAATTTGTTGGAAATCACGAATGAGCAAAATTCTCACCTTTCGCACGTGCAAATTTTTGAGCGGACGTTGCGTGCGCATCCAATATTGAATCGCCGTAAATTTTTGCATGATGGTGTTTTATATATAGCTTGATAAGCATGCAAAGTTTCAAAGTATTTCAAAAAGAACTGTAATCACAACGGCACTCTAAAGTTGACAGAAAATGACAAAAACAGCAATTTTCAGTGATTTTAGCAATTTTCTATCAATTTGGGCGTGTCCCCACGTGTGCAACTTTTCGATTTTTAACTTTAAAACTAGCCTAATGCACAATTTATACCTATAGGAAGCAGAACTGAGCTCCACAACCCAAGGCATGGCCCAACACCAGAGAATACTAAATCGCAAAATTGACGTTTTTATAAAATAATTCTTCAAAAAAGCACAAACTTCAATGACGAATATCTTTATGAAGGAGCAAGCTAGAAAAACTTTCCGGTAGATTTTCAGAATGCTTGAACAATTATCTAAGGTGAAAATTTCCTCAGATTTTGAATACAATTACTTTTTAATGGTGTAAAATCATTTTTAAAAGTTATTACTTTGTCAAAAATCAAGTTTTAAAAACGGTTAACTTGATGACGTCATCAAGGGGTGTTCATGACGTCAAATAATTTGTTTATACAATGTAAACTAAAGTGTAAACAATTCTTTTCAAGACCTGTGGTCGGAAATGGCTGTATCTTTTATACTTTTGAATCTATGGACAATTAAATACAGGCTACAATTGACTGGCAAAGCGTCTATCCCTGAATATATGTATGTATGTATGTATCACGACAATCTGTCGTAAAACAGGGGTTCTAGAAAACCCACTTCCCGATGTTCCTGAAACCTGAAACTTTTTTTGCAGTCGATTTGGTCAACGTCTAGACGCTCTGAAAAATTTCAGATCACTAACTCGATTTTAACATGGTTTTTAAGGCACCTGAATATGGCGATTTTGGGTTTTTTACCGAATTTCGTAAAACAGTGCTGGCGAGTATTTTATGCAAATTTCTTAAAAATCTCAACATAACTATTTTTATTCCTGTCATCTTTGACATCAAATTAGAATGTTTTGAACTAAAAATAAATCTGCTGAACGACTTCCGATGAGTCTTAATGCCTGAAAAACTCCTGCCGGAGGCGGCGGCCTTGATCGGCCGCCGCCTCCGGCCGGAGTGCACGCTTCGCGTGCACGAAAGAGGCTTGTAACGTGTACCAAAGGGGGTATAATAGTAAAGGGGGTATAATAGTAAAGGGGTTACATAGTATACCCACAATAAATGCACCGGTCGTGCTTGCCAGCACTGTGATATATTCAGGGATAGACGCTTTGCCAGTAAATTATAGCCTGTATTTAAGTGTCCATAGATTCAAAAGTATAAAAGATATAGCCATTTCCGACCACAGGTCTTGCGAATAATTATTTACACTTTAGTTTACATTGTATAAAAAAATTATTTGACGTCATGAACCCCCCCTGATGACGTCATCAAGTTAACCGTTTTAAAAACTTGATTTTTGACAAAGTAATCACTTTTAAAATCGATTTTACACCATTAAGAATTAATTTTATTTAAGATTTGAGGGCATATTGAAGTTAGATAATTGTTTAAGCATTCTGAAAATCTACCGGAAAGTTTTTCTACCTTGCTCCTTCATAAAGATATTCGTCATTGAAGTTTGTGCTTTTTTGAAGAATTATTTTATAAAAACGTCAATTTTGCGATTTAGTATTCTCTGGTGTTGGGCCATGCCTTGGGTTGTGGAGCTCAGTTCTGCTTTCTATAGGTATAAATTGTGCATTAGGCTAGTTTTAAAGTTGAAAATCAAAAAGTTGCACACGTGGGGACACGCCCAAATTGATAGAAAATTGCTAAAATCACTGAAAATTGCTGTTTTCGTCATTTTCTGTCAACTATAGAGTGCCGTTGTGATTACAGTTCTTTTTGAAATACTTTGAAACTTTGCATGCTTATCAAGCTATATATAAAACACCAACATGACAAAATTTACGGCGATTCAGTATTGGATGCGCACGCAACGACCGCTCAAAGTTTGCACGTGCGAAAGGTGAGAATTTTGCTCATTCGTGATTTCCAACAAATTCTGCTTTGCCACGACAGTTTAATGTCATTATATATGAATTTAATGCCAACTTGAATGAGTATAAAGTGGCATATTCAGTCAGTGATCGACTGATATGCTTACCTAAACACAAGAAAATGTTTTTAAAGGAAAAATTTCGAAATCGTTGAAACTTCTTCCTTATTGAATTTGATGAAGATATCAGTTTATATTTTGTATTTCAACTATATAAAATTAAAGTACCCTGACATTATAATCAAAAATAGATGATATTTGACCAAAACCCATAATCATGGGTAGAGTGGACCGCTGCCAGTGTCTCTCTTTCCCAAACAAAAGGAAATGATATTAATTTGATTGACCGTTCTCAAATGCAAAATGATACCGAGAATGAAATCGGTCGCTCGCTTTTCCCATTCATTTACAATTGTATAATACATTAAAAAGAACTACCCGAAGGCAGCTGTACTCGGCAATAAAGTTTCAATAAACTTCAGCTAATTCAATAAGTAATAACTACCACCCTTACCCCGAAATACTAGGTATCGACCCGAACGCAACCCAAAGAGATTTTTACAGCATCTGATTGATGTAATCAATCTAAACTTATTACAATTCGTAAGCCGTGAATGAATGGGAAAAGCGAGCGACCGATTTCATTCTCGGTATCATTTTGCATTTGAGAACGGTCAATCAAATTAATATCATTTCCTTTTGTTTGGGAAAGAGAGACACTGGCAGCGGTCCACTCTACCATTGATTATGGGTTTTGGTCAAATTTACATAATAATATTATATTTAAAGAACTGCACCCCAAAAAGAACTGTACCCAAATTTAAGTGCTCGAAATGTCGGCTAACAATACAATATAAAAGATGAAAGGTATAATGTAAAATCCCGTGTAAAATTGTGAGACTTGTGTCGCAAACGCTGTTCAGCGCTGCATGCTCCACAATAATACTACTACTACTGCTCCACAAGTCATCACATACAGTACATAAAAATGTCATGTAGTTACAAACTCCTTATCAGTTCTTAATCCGATTAACTTTCTCTAATCAATCATATCAGCATATTTCACGCACTCGCTATAAAAGCTAAATATAATATTACACAAATATACTGATAACAGCGTACTATTGTAGATTACGCCTTGTCTACACTGAGAATCTTGTCACCCCTTATGTAATGTACTTTTTTAGATCGGTAGTTATCATTTCTTTCAGTTTTAGTCACTTGTGAGCAGATCTTTCTTCACGGTTTCTATCAGGTGAGAGGCACCAGGTATGGTGTTCCGAATTATCCACTCTCTTCAGTCTTCAGTTCGTTTGCTCGAGCAAGACTATCATTCGGTTTTCTATGATCAGGTTTTCCCTTCGTGATGTAGCAGAGGAAGACATCAATAATATCTTGGTCGATACTCCGCATGGTGGTAGTTGTGGCAGCAAATATTGTTGCAGGGGCCCAATAAATGTTATCTGTCCCAATAACATTCGCTGCCACAACATGCGGAGTATCGGCCAAGATATTATTGATTACCTCCTCTGCTACATCACGAGCAGCATTGTATCGATCCTCATCTACACGCCGTAAATCGTGAAGTTTTTGCTTCTTTCATCAGCTTGAACTGCAGATTGGAAAACCTCTGACATCCTCTCGATAGAAGGAGCACTTGATTTACAGTTCTTGTTTACAATGCTGCTCCATGACTTCATCTCTGTTTGTACAGTCCCCTGCGCCAGTTGTTTCTGTTCGGTAAGGGTTTTCTAGGAAGCAGTTTGTTCCGTTTTTAATGTATCAATTGCACCAGCCGCTACTTTACACGATTCTAAATTACTGTCCATTATCTTCATTAGATTCTCTATAAAGTTATCCCATATGTCTTTATATATAACTTCATCAATATATTGATGAGTATACTGAGTGATTTAGTTTTTCTGTATTCTTAGTTTTTGAGGCCGTCCGCTTCCCGATCCCTACAAAAACTTACAATGCATATGTCAAACTAATTTTTACTCGATAGCAATAACTTGTTCATAATGTTTAGCCTATTTTTCTAAGTACCTATGTTTGTTTGATCGAATACCGATTGCAAAAACGTGTTCTGCTATGTAGCATCTGCGGCAACACTTTTAATGGCCGCTATTTTGGAAGAAAGCCAGGCGTCTAATTAAGTTCAACAAATTACACCTTTAAGAATTCAGACATGATATTCGATACGATAACTTTCACGTTTTATTTTGATAGAGTAACTGCACTCACAATTTCGCTTCAAGAGTCCACATTTTATCATTTTATGTTGTCTTATCTTCACTTGAGATTGTACTATGAGTTTTCCTTCTTTGCTATTTACAGTATATACCATCATTATTAACTATCATTCCTGGTTTGGTTACAGCTCAACTGATCGTCTCAACCTCCGAAGACCCCCCCCCCCCCCCCCCCCCCCCCCCCTTTTACCACTCACTATATATTCCCCCTCTTTTCAGACATGCCATGTCGTCCCGGTGTAGTGTTATTAGTACTGGTAAAGTACTCCACACTACTACTACTACTACTGGTATGTTATTGTTATGCTGGTAGTGATGAGCAGAACAAACCAAACCTGAGGATATTTAATGGAGACGACGCCGCTGAAGGAGAATACCCGTTTGTTGTGAGTCCCAGTACCTAAAATACATTGTTCGATGTGAGTCCCAGCAGAGGCTAGAAGGGAAGAAGATATGCTAGAAGGGTAGAAGAGAAGCTAGAAACACATTGGTTTTCTTACCACACTCTTGTTTAATACCCTGAAAAGTAGCTCTAATTATAACTGACCCTTACTCCTCAGGGTCTCCTGCTGGCTAGTGCTACATTCTCCAGCGACGGATCAGGGGGCGGTCAGAACATGTGCGGGGGCTCTATCCTGAGTGACAGGATAATACTGACAGCAGCTCACTGCGTGGTCAAGGACACTGCTATCACTGACCAGGACGGGAGTGCTATAGACGAGCTGTATTACCCGGTGAACCTGGTGTTCCACGTGGGGGAGACACATCTGTACGAGACTGAGCAGAGTGAGCAGATACTGAACGTGGCCGGGATCATGGTCCACGAGGAGTATGATTCCTACAGTGTTGTTAATGATGTGGCATTACTTGTGCTTGATAAACCCATCACCCTGAATGATAAGGTGGCTACTATAGCGCTGCCTGATCCTGCTGATAGAGCTACCCTCTATGCAGACGGCGCTGCTATCACAGTTATTGGTATATGTAGTTATACACACTTTGAAACACTCCTCACTGTAATATATACAATATAGCACAAGAGATGCAGGCAGGTTACAAACCTGCCCCCCCCCCCCCCCCCCCCTGTAAATGAAGGTAAACAGTAGTAACTCCACCAGGGTGGGGAACTACAGAGGATGGTACAACTTCTGAAAAACTAAAGAAGCTGCCCTACACGATATCCTCTAAATCTGATTGTAAGACTAACTACGGTGAGGGTTTGTTAGACGGGATGATGTGTACTGGAACTGCTCCCACAGAGAGACGCGCTGACACTGGAGATTCTGGTTAGTTAACATTTAGTTAGTTACTTTAAGTTACTTTATGTTACTTTAAGTTACTTTAAGTTACTTTATGTTACTTTAAGTTACTTTAAGTTACTTTAAATTACTTTAAGTTACTTTAAGTTACTTTAAGTTACTTTATGTTACTTTAAGTTACTTTAAGTTACTTTAAATTACTTTAAGTTACTTTAAGTTACTTTAAGTTACTTTAAGTTACTTTGAGTTACTTTAAGTTACTTTAAGTTATTTTAAATTACTTTAAGTTACTTTACTATTGTTTCATGTGTTTACTTTAGAGTTACCTCTGCAGGTGGTCCACTGTTTACTAAGAAGGACGGAAAGTGGGTCCAGTTAGGCCTGGTCAGCTGGGGACCTACAGAGATTACAGCTACCTCATATGATGTCAACACTGACGTGCTCTACTTTAGGGACTGGATAGTAACTCACAAGGATAGGTTAGCAAACAACATCTTACTTCTTAGCTGTATCACATAACATCTTACTTGTTAGCTAATTCAGTTTTGAAAACTAGGTTTTAGCCAGGTTTTAACTTTTAAAAGCGACAACTTAATTCTTTGCCCATTTTCAGTGCGTTCACGGACTATGTAACTAGTTTAACAGCTACAAACTCCGCCAAGACTCTGATCCTGGAGAACCTGGCGAACTATCTTTATAAAACTATTAAAATAACTCCTGCTACTTCTACCAAACACACCAAAATAAGTTAGCTCTTATTTCCTTTTTCAACCGAATCTTATCTGTAGGTTATAAACGTACAAAACGAATATTATACATGTTATAGTGAATATGTTATAGTGAAAACAATACAATAATGTTTTCCGCCTTTCATACGATCCTAAATTTCAAGCGTTAAGTATTAGTATTTACACGGCACTCGATTGGTTGTATTTTCTTGAACTAACTGCAGTTTATTGCCCAATAATTAAAAACACCCTGTTTATAAAACTTCTCAATTTTCAGCTATAAAGTCCGGCACGATGAAGCCGTACGATTTCCTAATAGTGTACGATGGAGACGATCCCCTGCATAACACAATGCTAGCCCAGCTGTCTGGCACGCTGTCCGAACAGAGCTTCACTTCATCTACTGTACAGGTAGTTCTACATTATCTTAATGTGAACCTAATGTGAACCTTAGAAATTATAAATATAAACAAGTGAACGAAAATGTAGGGTCTATTATGGTTTGGGTTAGTGGGTCCCCTATTATTCCACTATTTTAAATTTATGTGTTTGTTAGTTGTTCCTTCACCTACTGACTACTCAACAGGGGCTGACACTAGCTATTTTAACGGGTAAAGAAGGAAAGTCAGATGGGTTAATTGTGGAGTACTCTGAAGTTTCAGACGCGGGACTAACACTGAGCTCACCTGTTCAACTGGGTAATGTTCCGTTTGTGTTGACTGTTGAACAGAATTACTTAATTATACCTTGTAAATACTAAAGTAGTAACAAGTTAGCCAGGAATTGGCCGATGAGTGATAGTCACAAATCAACGTGCGTTATTCCAGAATGATGATTATCTATCAACGCTCCTTATCACGTGACATACGTTAACACGACCTGCTAAACCCTAACCTCTCACACAGTTCCTAACCGTCACTCTCACACAGTTCCTAACTGTCACTTTCGCACAGTTCCTAACCGTCACTCTCACACAGTTCCTAACTGTCACTCTCACACAGTTCCTAACTGTCACTCTCACACAGTTCCTAACCGTCACTCTCACACAGTTCCTAACCGTCACTCTCACACAGTCCCTAGCCGTCACTCTCACACAGTCCCTAACCGTCACTCTCGCACAGTTCCTAACCGTCACTCTCGCACAGTTCCTAACCGTCACTCTCACACAGTTCCTAACCGTCACTCTCACACAGTTCCTAACCGTCACTCTTACACAGTTCCTAACCGTCACTCTCACACAGTTCCTAACCGTCACTCTCACACAGTTCCTAACCGTCACTCTCACACAGTTCCTAACCGTCACTCTCACACAGTTCCTAACCGTCACTCTCACACAGTTCCTAACCGTCACTCTCACACAGTTCCTAACCGTCACTCTCACACAGTTCCTAACCGTCACTCTCACACAGTTCCTAACCGTCACTCTCACACAGTTCCTAACCGTCACTCTCAAACAGTTCCTAACCGTCACTCTCACACAGTTCCTAACCGTCATTCTCACACAGTTCCTAGCCGTCACTCTCACACAGTTCCTAACCGTCACTCTCACACAGTTCCTAACCGTCACTCTCACACAGTTCCTAACCGTCACTCTCACACAGTTCCTAACTGTCACTCTCACACAGTTCCTAACCGTCACTCTCACATAGTTCCTAACCGTCACTCTCACACAGTTCCTAACCGTCACTCTCACACAGTTCCTAACGGTCACTCTCACACAGTTCCTAACCGTCACTCTCACACAGTCCCTAACCGTCACTCTCACACAGTTCCTAACCATCACTCTCACACAGTTCCTAACCGTCACTCTCACACAGTCCCTAACCGTCACTCTCACACAGTTCCTAACCGTCACTCTCATGTCACACAGTTCCTAACCGTCACTCTCACACAGTCCCTAACCGTCACTCTCACACAGTTCCTAACCGTCACTCTCACACAGTTCCTAACCGTCACTCTCACACAGTTCCTAACTGTCGCGTCACTCTCACACAGTTCTTAACCGTCACTCTCACACAGTTCCTAACCGTCACTCTCACACAGTTCCTAACCGTCACTCTCACACAGTTCCTAACCGTCACTCTCACACAGTTCCTAACCGTCACTCTCACACAGTTCATGATTACAATTCTCAGCTAGTAACTGTATTACAGGTACACTGCGTGTGCTGATAAGTTTTACTGTCTCAACAACAAGCTCTTCTGCGACTCCAATCAAGAGGGAAACTGTAAGTAAACAATTATAGATCTATCATCTAACGTTATTAGTCACCAGTCACCACGCAGTTTAAATCGTCACACATTTCGAAGAATTTCAGTGGTCGTCTCCCCAGCTAGTTTCCAGCACCGTTCTCTATTAATAGTGTAGTGGATTGTTGTGAGACCGAGTGGCCGTGGGGGCGGGGGAGGAATTACCCCGCTGCACTGCAGCGGAATCAAGTATGCACTACCGCCTGGACTTTATTTGATCAATAAAAAGGATTTTTTTACCAATCTTCTATTGACTACCTTATCAGACTTATCTGGGCGGTGGTGGTCGCAAAATATTTTCGAAAAATTGAGAATTTCTTTTTTTTCGGCTCTAATTTTAATTTTGTAATTGAAGTTGAACAGCCAGGTGATCAATGATTCGAATCAATTATTTTGGTGTAAGTTTAATATACTCTTACTCTCATAGAAAATTCTTCATTCTAACAGACTTATATTTGAAAATAATTAATAATTATAGGCGGTAATTCAGCCAGCAACTGATTAGTGCCTATCCTTGTCAAGTCCGATTATGTAAATTGTTTTCAATCGAACAATGAACCTGATAGGGGGGGGGGTCCAACTACATTTTTGTACACTAATTTAGCGTACATTTGGCAAACATCTGATGGCCATGTACATTAATGGTCTTAAAAAATGTACAAAAAAACCGGAAATCCCTGGAAACGAAACAGGAAAAACAGGAAAAAACATATTTTATACATTTTTGTGCATTTTTGAACAAATCTGGTGGCCAAACAGGAAAAAACATATTTTGTAAATTTTTGTACATGTACATTTGGCAAAAATCTGGTGGCCATGTACAAAAATGTAGTTGGACCCCCCTCCCCTCCCCTGATAATTGTTTTTCTGCAATGAACGCGTTATTTTGTCAGTTTGTGATTGTGTAACCCACATTTCTATTGCATGACTGTTCATGTCGGCCGGTGTAGTGGTAATGGATAATGGATATGTCATTGAAATTGTTGGCGTGTGTTTGAAGGAACATATTGTGTGATGTTAGAAGGAACATATTGTGTGATGTTTGAAGGAACATATTGTGTGATGTTTGAAGGAACATATTGTGTGAATGTTTGAAGGAACATATTGTGTGATGTTTGAAGGAACATATTGTGTGATGTTTGAAGGAACATATTGTGTGATGTTTGAAGGAACATATTGTGTGATGTTTGAAGGAACATATTGTGTGAATGTTTGAAGGAACATATTGTGTGATGTTTGAAGGAACATATTGTGTGATGTTTGAAGGAACATATTGTGTGAATGTTTGCACATTGATAGTACGTACTGTGTGTGGCGTGTGAATGTTATCTGTGTGTGGGAATGTATATCTCTACTACTATCTCTGTTATCTGATCTCTACCTGTGTGGTTCCTGCAGGTAGAGATGGTAGCGACGAAGCAGGAGAATGCCCAACATCCTCTGGCTCTACATCAACCAGCACTGACAAGAACAGTTCTACACCCAGCTCCTTCAACACAGTCTTACTTCTTGTGTCTCTCCTTGTTAGGACAATCAATACATTATAATTTACACTCAGTTAGTAGTGGAACTGTTTCTAATGTTGGGTACTAGTATTGTGTAATAATATGTAATAATAGAGTACTGATAAGTAATGATATGTTTTTATAGATTACTAAATTATACAAGTAGAATTATCTCATCTTCATGATTATTCCTTTAATTTCATTAATGATTGCTTGATAGAACTTTCATTTCGTCAGATTCACGTGTAGATTATCGATTTATAGTCGTATAATTTATCAAGAGATATGTTTATATGGTTGTAATTTTCAGATTAAGTTATACAGAGTTTTAATAATTATTTAAGTTTTTAATTCAGTAAATGTTTAGATTATTTATTTTATAAGATATGAAACTGTACATAATATATACTTTCTAAAAATGTTTTTGAAACGAAACTAGAACTACTGTTTCTACCTGTTTTTACTGTTTTTACTTCACCTAAGTAGCTGTAAGAAGCTTATTTTACCTGTATAATAGATCGCTAATTGCTGCTACGTATTACTGCGGTGGTTGTTCTGTTTGTTTCTCAAAATATACTAAAAATAGTTAGACATGCTTTAAATTCACCCTTGTAACCTTGGGAACTGTTGTAGGGATTATCATTGTAATCCTTATCATTGTATCCTTGGGAACCATTGTAACCTTGGAAACTTTTGTAACCCTTGTAAGGATTGTCATTATAACCTTGGGAACCCTTGTAATCTTGGGAAGCCGTGCAGGGATTGTCATTGTAACCTTGGGAACCCTTGTAGGGATTGTCATTGTAACCTTGGGAACCCTTGTAGGGATTGTCATTGTAACCTTGGGAACCCTTGTAGGGATTGTCATTGTAACCTTGGGAACCCTTGTAGGGATTGTCATTGTAACCTTGGGAACCCTTGTAGGGATTGTCATTGTAACCTTGGGAACCCTTGTAGGGATTGTCATTGTAACCTTGGGAACCCTTGTAGGGATTGTCATTGTAACCTTGGGAACCCTTGTAGGGATTGTCATTGTAACCTTGGGAACCCTTGTAGGGATTGTCATTGTAACCTTTGGGAACCCTTGTAGGGATTGTCATTGTAACCTTGGGAACCCTTGTAGGGATTGTTATTGTAACATTGGGAACCCTTGTAGGGATTGTCATTGTAACCTTGGGAACCCTTGTAGGGATTGTCATTGTAACCTTGGGAACCCTTGTAGGGATTGTCATTGTAGCCTTGGGAACCCTTGGCCTTGTAGGGATTGTCATTGTAACCTTAGGAACCCTTTACTGTACTATCAGATTACAGGATTCTCACTAAATTGACATCATATGACTAACACCACAAATAGTTGCTATAACAACACAACTGTTCCATCCTAATTAGCAGGAGCTATCTACCTCATACCAACTAACTAGAGGATCTAAAACAAGAGAGCTCTATGAATATATATGTATATATATGGGCTCAGCTCTGCTTATATAATAGGTTTATTATTTTTCTTTCTAGAAGTTTTAGTAAAAGTTTTTTAGATGTGAAAAACAAGAAAAACTGACGAAATCATTTCTATGTTCTTCTCAGGTAAAGATAGTAGTGACGAAGTGAAAGCAAATTGTGACAAGATTAACAAAAATAACGATACTGACAATAACGATACTGACAATAACGATACTGACAATAACGATACAGACAATAACGATACTGACAATAACGATACTGACAATAACGGTACTGACAACAGCAATGACGAGGGTGATAGCAACAATGCTGATGAAGTTGAGGATGACAAATCAGGAGATATCAGAATTTACCGGACTCCAGTGTTACTATGTTTGTGTTTAGTTCTACTGTTTGTTTTATAAACAATGCGATACTTGAAATCCTATTTAAGAATGACAACAAATTTTAAATCAAAAGCAGTTTTATTTTTAAAGGTTTTATTCAGTTTCTAATTTGTTTGAAATTTATTATAATTGGTAAAGAACTAAAGAGTTTGTGATTTGATAGCAGAAGTTTCTACTGTTCTATTGTATAAATGTATGTGTAGATATTTATTTTAAATCCTTCGATTTTAGCCTAAATTTTGTAATATTATTTGCTTTAAAATATAACACGCCAAGGGCACACCGATTTATTGAAGGCGAACAATTGTATATCCAACTTCAAAGTATATCTGAAACGCATATTAGCGATTCAAATCTTTTCATTAAGTTTGATATTAGTATTTGATGAAATGTGAACAATATTCACGGAATAGTTTGTTACATTCCTCATCATAATGATAGAAGAATAGCCAGTAGTAGAATTAAACACATGAATTATTGAAGCAAATTGTTGGTGATACAGCCAGATCTTATAGAGATAACCTCCCATCGCTCTTAAAATAAGTGAGCTTTCAATGGTGTTCAAATAAACCAGCCTAATTTCAAGATAGTAGAACATATATTAGGAACACTTTTGCAGTGACTGTAACCGATTGTAAAATCTCTAAAATCTATTTGAGACCTTTGAATATACAATAAAGCATTTCCAAAGGTACGAATTAATGAAAACAAAGGACGATGTTGAAAGTATCATGATTAACGTGTATTTTCTCCTTTGAAAACAGCAAAGCATGTGCTCTAAGCAGCGAGTAAGGTAGATTGGTACATAATGTGTACTAAATATGTAATCAAACAGAGATTATTGTAAAAACATAGCTAGAAATCTAACAAATATAAAGGAACACGTACAGGCAATCCCGTCCACAAATATTATTTACACTGCACTCACCAGGTAAATATTATTTACACTGCACTCACCAGGCAAGCTAACAGATCATTAGCTGACCCAGTGCACTTTTTCAAATATCAAATTATACCTTCTTTTTGCATGCGAAATCAAATGTTTATGAACTTTACAAATTGGTATGTTAACAAAACGAAAGGAGATGTCAACAAAAGTATAAATTTTCTAGGGGGAAAGCCAGGAGTTTACAGGTTACCATGGTTACCTAGCTTTCCAGACTATTGTGAGTAATCAGTATCAAGTATGATCGCACAATTATTATTTCTAGGATACATAATTTTCAAATAGCAATTTAAATAAATTTAAATAGCTTAAATAAATACTTATTCATATCAGTTTATTTAATGCATCGAAAAGTCAGTTTCAGTGTAGAGAAGTAATGCCAACTGAGTGGTAGTAAGAATTGTAATCGCTATCAGCCAGTGAGTAATTAACCAGCCGGTTAAAGAGCCAGTAACCAGCCGGTAAAAGAGCCAGTAACCAGCTATATTGGTGACCACTACAACACAGCTTTGTCCAGCGAAGGGTAAGTAAGATTGAACTCTAGCAGGACGTGAACGTCAGGGGTAGAAATAGAGTCCAGGTTTCCTAAACGTAGAAACTATCGACCTCTGAACCCTGAAGTGGGAGACGGTGAACATTTTATAATAGAGACAATAAAACAGTCAACGTTAATACTTAGTACTTAATCATGTTCATTGTTTATACTATTAAGTAATAGCATGACAAGTCCGTGACGCGGACTATTAAATATACGCGGTCGGTTCAGTTCAGTGCTCAGTTATCGACCGGATTTCGATCGCGCGTCGGCCGGCTACGCTGCACTCGACTCAGAATAGATCAGAGTTGAATTGCGCGCTAAGCTAAGATAGAAGAGCGCGCGCGTCGCGAAACATACTTCGCGCGATCCTGTCAGTAGGTAAATGCTTGCTTGTTTTAAAATCTGAGATATGTTTTCACTGAGTTAATCAAGGACAGAATCCGTAAAAAATAAAGCAAAATAGAGGAACCGGGAACGATTTGTATCATTCAATGTACTGTTTTACACTTTGACTATTGTCGCTGATTAGCCTGATTCTAAGTATTATGATAATAAAACACGTGATAATTCGTGTGGAGTAAAACCTTCTAAATTGTTAACTTAGGTATTATATCGTGTCTTGCGAACAAATACGTTAAAATATGAGATTTTAGCTGTAACAGGACTAATTCAACAGTAATTACAATATCTCACAATCGAATCTAATTGTTACCATGGTTACTGAGTAACCATGGCTACTTGTGTGTGTTACCATGGTTACTTAGTTACCATGGTTAATTGAGCAATAATTAGTACTGAAGCTTCGTAACGCAACACTGTGTAGCTTAACATTAATCACTGTGGTCGGCAGAAGATCCCACTTGTTGGAAATGTAACACTTGGTAGAGCAGATTCAGATTGAATATTAGATATAAACTTGTGCACGACAACCTAAATACTTTATTACATGCTAACTTTTGATAGAAATGTTAGCAAATCTTGTGTAATATCTTGTGTAATATCTTGTGTAATATCTTGTGCAATATCTTGTGCAATATCTTGTGCAATATCTTGTGCAATATCTTGTGCAATATCTTGTGCAATATCTTGTGTAATATCTTGTGTAATATCTTGTGCAATATCTTGTGCAATATCTTGTGCAATATCTTAGGTAACCATCGCACTCAGAAAACTCAGTATACCACCCAGTATTTGTGACGCAAGAAGGAATATGATAGCTATTACCATTTCATCGGAAACCGCCGCTAAAAGCAGGATAGCTTCGTGTGCGTGTGTCACTTGTTGCCATGGTAACCATGACTTATAATGGTAACCAGGGCTTATATTTGAACATCTGGTCACTCTGAGCTCTCTCTAACGTTTCACGAAGCTAATTCTCTGAGCAGTGTATATATACTGTATATAATATACAGTGTAGATAATGCTTTGAGGGGTAACTTGACAGAGCATCTAATATTGTGAGTAAAAAGTTTCCGTAAAACTGGAGCTATAGTTCAGTGTAGTAGCAGGCTCAGTGTTATAATTAGCAGCATCACTAAACTAGCCCACTAAGTAAGAAAACACATGGTCCGATGAGGCTTACAAACTAAAGGGTAGAAGTAGAAGTAGGGCCACCCTGTAGAAGTAGGGCCACCCTGTAGAAGTAGGTACATATACTACAAATAGGTTCACGTGTATTATCAGATAGTTTCATATGTTTTAGTAGTATGTTATAATACTATAAATTATTATACCTGTGCTTGGTTTGAGCGCCTCCTCGGGACTACTAGTTGACAAACCTTGTTACACTGCTCACTTACTTTATATTACTTTGTAAAGTGATTACACTGGATCCCTCATCAGACAACGTGTAGTAAGGGGAACTCCTTAATCGGTTATGTTATTTATAAACGGCAAATGTATTTTACTGTTATATTTATAAATATAGAATGAATCTTACTAGTGCTAAACGTATAGTTTATACACATTACACAAGTACGGATTCAACCTCAAATTGGCTATGTTTTAATACAATAGTTACTGACATGGGACACACTGTGAATCTCACGCTAGTAATTAACCAAACACTGCAATTAGTGATAATGGTAGTTTCCTTTCTTACCGATGTGTACAATGCACAGTAAATGTAAATACTATAGCGCACACAAGTTATAAGAATGAAAATGAAGCGAAATGTTAAAATTCTTGAGAAAATTCTAATTTCCCAGGAATTTGTACAAAGAGGCCTGCAGATAGAACACATGATCTGAAGACTCACGGGGTCTTAACCAGTTAAATTCATAAGCCACAATTTACCACAGCGATCATCAAGAACTCTAATTATTTATTTTAGGCTAGAGTTAACAAAATTTACTAAATTCCAGTGAGGACTGTTTATAAGCATGAAAATGTAAGTTGGTTTTGAGAACTGTTATAACATTATGTCACCAGTTACACACTCTCTCTCTCACACAGTGCAGTTACACCTCACAGTTCACACCCAGACAAGAGGCTAACAATTCACTTAGGTAATTTAGTAAGTTACACTCTCTCTAACACAGCAGTGTGTTATATAAGGTGTGTGTATAATATCCTGTTCTTGAGTAGACTTTGTACAGCCTGTAGAGTTGTAGACTCACTATAGTTATACTCACTATACTCACTATACTCCCTCCCTCCTTCCCTCCCTCCCTCCCTCCCTCCCTCCCTCCCTCCCTCCCTCCCTCCCTCCCTCCCTCCCTCCCTCCCTCCCTCCCTCCCTCCCTCCCTCCCTCCCTCCCTCCCTCCCTCCCTCCCTCCCTCCCTCCCTCCCTCCCTCCTTCCCTCCCTCCCTCCCTCCCTCCCTCCCTCCTTCCAGCCTGTACACTCACTATACTCACTACACTATAGACGTATTACAATCCCGGGCTAAATAATCACAAGCTACTCAATAGGAGGACAAATTGGGAGTAACTCGATAACATCCTCATTTGCAGGGCTTCCCTTACAGGAAAGCTGGTGTCACGTGATGAGAAGGAGTGATCTGAGTGGGTGGTCGAGGTGAGTGTGGGAACCATGGCAACACGTGACATGACCATACCACCACACTATTGGCTGGCTTGGTGAGCAGGGAGGTGCTGATTAGACTCACATCCAGATAACAGAGTGAGAGGGAACTTATCCTGCTCTGGCAGATAACTGGGAATATAACTGGGAATCCCCAACAGTTAGCACATGTTGAAAATATGAAACATGTCGAATGTCTGAAACAGATGCCGTATAATATAGTTTAAAAGCGCCAAGAATTCGGAAAGAATTTCTTCACATTTTTCAACATGTATTACAAAAAGAAATGTTGAAAAATAATAATTATGTGTGGATGATGCCGTACAAGACCATCTTGTTAAGTGAAATACAGCAGGCAATAGTTAAGGCACAATTATTTCACAAATATCTTATTATTGCCGCAAGATCGTCTGAAACGGACCGCTGATTGACAGAAAACCCTTCATCAAGTCTTTAAACTGTAGACTTATAAATCAAGTTCCTTAGTTTATACCTGGCCCTTGAATTGGCAAGGATGGCAAGGAATTGTTGATTGCTGGATCTATCCTATCTAAAACCTAAAACTAGATGAAGAAAAACCTTGCAATCTTATTATTGACAGATAATAATATATGACTCAAAATGATCATTTTGAGTCATTATGTTGAACCCGGTTGTAAGGTTGTCACGATTGAGCATGACAGATATTACACGCTGAACCATGTTTAATTAAAATAAGTAATCAGACCATAGGTGGAAATGACAATAATGACACTTAACAGTCCCACACTATTGTGCAACTTTCTGAAATGCTTTGTTGCTGGTATCTACAATAATTATAATACTATTTAATGTATGTATATAATAATATTATAATACCTTTATTTTAATCGACTTTTTAAATCATTACACCTTATCAGTCTACCAATGAGATTGCAGTTATCAAAAACATAACAGTTTGCACAGCTCCCCCTCAAAAGTTGATGAGCTTATCTTCAAGTATAGATGTGTAATTCAGTGTAGTAATGATTTTTAATTAGATTATAAAAATACACTCAATGTACTTAATTGATTATGTGATACTCCAAAAGTAACCTCTACAGAAAAACTGCGAACTGCGAGACAAGGATTACATATATGGAGATCAGACTTAGAAGTTAAGAAGTAGTTCGAGTAAATTTCTATATTATAAATTATTTATAGATTTGTTAATGTATTGTGTAATAATGTTACTCTCAAACTCTCCCCTCACCCCTTCTCACCCTCTCTTCCTCACTTTCAAACTCTCCCCTCACCCCTTCTCACCCTCTCTTCCTCACTTCCCCTCACCCCTTCTCACCCTCTCTTCCTTCACTCTCTTCCTCTCCCCTCACCCCTTCTCACCCTCTCTTCCTCACTTTCAAACTCTCCCCTCACCCCTTCTCACCCTCTCTTCCTCACTCTCTTCCTCTCCCCTCACCCCTTCTCACCCTCTCTTCCTCACTTTAAAACTCTCCCCTCACCCCTTCTCACCCTCTCTTCCTCACTTTCAAACTCTCCCCTCACCCCTTCTCACCCTCTCTTCCTCACTCTCTTCCTCTCCCCTCACCCCTTCTCACCCTCTCTTCCTCACTTTAAAACTCTCCCCTCACCCCTTCTCACCCTCTCTTCCTCACTTTCAAACTCTCCCCTCACCCCTTCTCACCCTCTCTTAATGTACACTAGTACACTAGTCGTTACTTGACTATGTAATATTAAGTGCACAGTATTGCACGGTAGTATTGCAATGAAGGAGGTTCACTTCAACGCAGTGCTACTCTCACACCTGAGTCATGTCTGTCAATTCACACCACGTGTCATGACGTCATACACCACGTGTCATGATGTCATACCACGTGCCTATATGATAGCATATTCCCAAATATTTTACGGTTATATAGAGCGGAACAGTCTACGTAATAAACTTCACTATCCAGGAAGCAGGCTCCAAGTGGAATATGGTCAGGCTTCTTGGATACTGGCGATTGGTTATGGCCAATACTGGAAATATTCAAAAATATATCAGTCAGAAAATAGAGAGTGTTTGAGATGTGAGCGGATTAAATCATAAACAACTATTTCCCTACTGTGTCTGTATACTGTTATATACTGTACTACTATAATACTGTGCTACTGTATACTGTACTACTATAGAATTAATAAGAATACTTTTCTGTTGTGAGAAATGTCAGAAGAGAGTATTCGTTTTGTGGCAATTAGTGAGCTCTGTTATCAGCTGTTGTAACAGTGCAGACAGATATCAAATCATATTCTTCTGCCCAAAAGAAGACTTGTGCAGCTGCTTTTACGCCTAACAATATATTATGCACTGTAGAAAAGACATTAGCCGAAGATGACAACAGAAGCAGGAACGTCGTTATCTATTGAATAAGCGAATCCGACAAAGTTCTCGGCGAGATTAACGAGAAAGCTGCATTAAGTGACTATTGTGATTAAGTGATTAAGTGACTATTGTTGAGTTGATTATACACCTTACAGTCGAGGTCAACAGTTTATTCGATTATCATTTTATACGTTATAATTGGACGAGTTTCTTAGAAGCGGGTAATAAATATATTAAATCACCGGTACTGTACAGCTTGTATAATCTCTATATTCTACAATATATCCCGTATATAAAGAGGGAGTCGTTTAGATAGAGATTAATAAGATCTTTAACATGTAACTTTCCGGTTTTAATATCAAAGTATTAGCGGTGAACTAACTTATATACGGAAAAGTTTGAGAACTGCGAATAATACGACATTTTAAAAGGAATTGCACCATAATGTCACGTAAATATTATTTAGTGAACACGTTATAGCGAGGGTAACACAGAACGTGTGACTATAGAGTTCTATCATAGTTTAATTAGAAGATAATAAGATACCAATATACCTCCATATTCAGGGTAGTTACAGGGAACACTGGGGGAGCAGGTTACTATCGTTATAATAATATGCGCATAATATTACTCAACGTGTGGCAACTACATTTTAGATCACGCAAAACATGCATCTGATCAAGATATGGGTTGTTTTCTAAATGTACTCGTAACATATTATAATAAGCTTATAAATGTAACTTAGTAGTAGTAGTAACTTACACTTATATTACTACTTATATTAGTACTCCAGGAGCAGGGATATGCTGCTGCTACTGGAGTACTGTTAAACTTTAATATATAATTATTATAATACCAACATTACACCCTACTGGTATTCTGTGCAGAGAGAGAGATCAGTGTCTTTACACTGCGCTCTCATTGCATGTACACATATTCAGAGGGTTGCCTCGACCAATGGCAGCAGCGCCAGCAGAGTACTTGGCCAATCAGAAGGAGTAGATTAGGACACGTGACAGCGATTAGCCCATTAAGACACTAGCAGCAGTGTCACGTGACACGCATCCTTTAGTCACGTGACACAGGGCTAGGTCACGTGACTCGACCTTCTGTTCCTTGTTTCGGTTAATGGACAACATCCTACAAACGTAAGGCATTATGCCGCTTTATTGTCGTTGCCGTGGTAACATGCGATATGCAGGAGTGTGCACGTGGTTAAAATTCCAATGGTGAAATATCACGTGACCTGCTTGTATACTTCCCGCGCTGAAAGACATGTGACAAAGCTTCACACCCTAGCATCACGTGGGCACACAGCAGCACGTGCACACTCTGCTGCCTCCTATTGGCCCGCTCAGAGATCCGTGTGATCTAAACGTATGTACGGGATTACTAAACAGCAGCCGACTACTGATTTGAGTAAATGTGGGCACACAGCTTTACACAGCATGCAGTATGTGTACACTTCTTTTACAATGGCTGGAAATGTACCTTCTGGTTTCTAACAATAGCCCACCAGCAGATCCTTCATCCCAGAGAGTTGAACTATTAGCCTCCCCGCTTCTAGCAGTATATTACACCAGCCTCACAAAGAACACATTTGCCGTGTCACTCCTGCACAAAGCCTCTTACAAGTCACCACAAATGTGCTCCTTCATAAACACAAATGTGCGGGAATTATTCCATATACAGGAGCTCTTCCCTGTTTGGTGAAATGACAGCAGGGCTACGGAGAGCTACTGCTATCAGCCAGACTACCTAACCTCTGGTACCTTCTTCTAACTAGTCTTCTTCTAACTAGTCTTATACACTAGTTACCTAACCTCTGGTACCTTCTTCTAACTAGTAGCATACACTAGTTACATAACCTCTGGTACCTTCTTCTAACTAGTAGCATACACTAGTTACATAACCTCTGGTACCTTCTTCTAACTAGTAGCATACACTAGTTACCTAACCTCTGGTACCTTCTTCTAACTAGTAGCATACACTAGTTACCTAACCTCTGGTACCTTCTTCTAACTAGTCTTCTTCTAACTAGTCTTACACACTAGTTACCTAACCTCTGGTACCTTCTTCTAACTAGTACCTTCTTCTAACTAGTCTTACACACTAGTTACCTAGTAACTAGTGTGTAATAGTGGTGGAGTCTACCTGGTGGAACACAGAGTAGGACTGGAGTCTACCTGGTGGAACACAGAGTAGGACTGGAGTCTACCTGGTGGAACACAGAGTAGGACTGGAATCTACCTGGTGGAACACAGAGTAGGACTGGAGTCTACCTGGTGGAACACAGAGTAGGACTGGAGTCTACCTGGTGGAACACAGAGTAGGACTGGAGTCTACATGGTGGAACACAGAGTAGGACTGGAGTCTACCTGGTGGAACACAGAGTAGGACTGGAGTCTACCTGGTGGAACACAGAGTAGGACTGGAGTGCGCTGTAAAAGGTAAACTACTAGGTAACCCTGGTAACCCTGACACTATATCTATATTCAGAGCTCAGACTTGTCAACAGGAATTACTTGTAATAATTCCTCCTACACTCAACTATCATACACTCCTACTCGAAAGTGTTGGACTTACACGCCACAAATTCTTGCCGGAGTACTTATACGTACTGCGTTAGTGGGTCAATACAACTGTTTAACTTTTAAGTCTTTATAAATCATACACTGATAACTGGGTGTAGAGTGTTAAATACCAGTTGTCCTAGGGCTAGTAAAAGATTTTCACATTCTTTTATTCTCGGATAATCTGTTTTTAAACTTTTTCTAAAAACTGTTTTCAAGACTTCGACTCCCCCTCCCATTATTTTTAAAATCTCACTAATACATTTTATCTTTTGAATCTCAGTAATATGTTTTATCATGAAAGTGTCCAAGTAAAGCAACATACTGCATAATTTGATATTTTGATATTAATATTTGTTCATAAATTCTGAACTGAAATAGTGTGCATTATCTTGATATTTCCATATTAAATCTCGCTTGAAAGTAGAATCTTACTATATTATATATAAAGCGAGACGATATATATACAGGGGGGGGGGGGGCCAAAAAGTCAGTACCCATACGTTGGCCTTAATAGCTCAGTCACTGAGTGCCCTATTGAAATAATTATTTCTGGTATGACTTACTACTACCATTGGTTCGAGGAATTTGTCAAATCGAAAAATATTCGTGTTCATTTTTTGCAAATGAAGGTTTATTTTCGCATTTATTTGATAGTTTGGATAGTCGGATCGAGCCAAATTTTATTGAATGGTGTTTGGCCATTTAAATTACGTTTGTCTTGAAAAAATGAGAGTTCTAGCTTCTCAGATGACCGAGATATGAAGCATAACGAGTTTGTTTATTACGTGTGATCAGGTGATTGGATTGAGGCTAGATCCGCATTATGGGAATCGTGCAGAGAGCCCAATTACGGTGGGGTAATTGGGTAATCATTGAGTACCTAATCAATTTTGCTAACGAGATAAACAAATTACTTGATAACTTCGTCATTTTAAATCCTTTTCGCACCATCTTTTCAGATTATATTCCGGATTAAATGACCTATTGCAATATGTTACAACGGAATCTCTAACATGTTCACAAACACGAGTACAAGCAATTCAATGTTAATTGGGTGTGGCCCCCAAAATTTGAATTTTCAAATTTTGGTGACGGAATCCTCGAACAAGTAGGTACAGTATGCCATCTGCAAAGCAACAACTCTCAAATATAAAACACGGCGGTGGTATAAGACCCAACGACCAACGTATGGGTACTGACTTTTGCCCCCCCCCCCCCCCCTGTATATATATATAGTATATATCTGTTACTATTTTACTGACACCACGACTTCAATTTGAAGACTTTCCTAAAACCGTAGGAGATATACTTTTGAAACTTTTTTGGCTGGGTCGAATGATTTTATGGCCTTTTGGTCAATATGAAGAAATACAAAATTGGCCAAGGAATAAAAGATTTAGGTCCCGAAAAATGGACCCCCAGGTGGTGTCAAAATCACAAATTAAATAGATAAGATTATCTAATGACATTAGAAAATTAAATGATTAAATATACATTAAATGATTAAATATACATTGTATATTTGATCATTTAATTTTCGAATGGAATTTTACCAAATTAAAACCTAGTGTGTGTGTTTGAGCGATTTGTACAACATTTCTGTAATGTTTCAAATTATATTCAAATGTTCAAAAAATGTATTAACGTCTTTTGACACCACTTTAGAGAATCACAGATTCCTGCTTGTGACTTAAATATATATCTTCGTTGGGTATATTATAATGTCAATTGTCGAAGCATGTAATAAATGTTAGAATTTATTTATTATTTCTATACTAAAATAAGATTGTACAGTAAAATTGCAGGCGCACTAAACTGTTATTAAAGAGCTAAGATAATGTTTTACCTGTCTCCGTTTATAAGATGATGCAACTCTTCTTTTCAATGAAAGGGTTATTGCGCTTGTCCCCCGGCGACAGTAGAGGATCTGGCGTTTGTTGAGTGTACTCAATTAACCTGAACAGTGAAAAACTTAGAGGTGCTTTACTCTACAATAATTCGTCTGATAATTACAGATGCAGAGGCAATATCAACAATTGCGCAAGTGAATTTTTGGAAGGCGATGATTTTTTAGCCGATGCAAGGATCAATGCACTTTTAAGGGGGCCGGGGGGGTCTTCATCAAAATTCTCTCGAAATTGTTTTTATAATTGTTTCTGATAGAGGGGAGTGATATCTATCAGCTGCTTTTGGTCCCATGGAGAAATATTGTTCCTAGCCGAAATTATCGCTGGTCAAAGGTCAGCGCTCATATGTAATTGTATTGCGCGAGCGATTTTCAATCGCGCGTCCTGAAAATCGAGTCTAAAAATCTATCTTCTCCTACATTTTTTGAGCAATAACCCTGAAACTTTCAGGATATGTTCTAGGGATCATTTAGAAGAGAAGTATCGAGCCAAATTTTGAGATAGGCCTCAGAAAATTTTTAAATCGATTTTGAAAATCTTGGACCTGGAAAAATCGTCAAAAAATGAGGTCCAAGATTTTCAAAATCGAATTAAAAATTTTCTGAGGCCTATCTCAAAATTCGGCTTGATACTTCTCTTCTAAATGATCCTTAGAACATATCCTGAAAGTTTCAGGGTGATTGCTTCAAAAAATGTAGGAGAAGATAGATTTTTAGACTCGATTTTCAGGACGCGCGATTGAAAATCGCTCGCGCGATACAATTACTCATGAGCGCTGACCTTTGACCAGCGATAATTTCGGCTAGGAACAATATTTTTCCATGGGACCAAAAGCAGCTGATAGATATCACTCCCCTCTATCAGAAACAACTATAAAATCAATTTCGAGGGAATTTTGATGAAGACCCCCCCCCCCCCCCCGGCCCCCTTAAGTCATCTGATATTAGACTGTGATAACTGTGATCAACGACATAAAAACAAGAGGCAGTCTAGTGCAGTCCCAGCCAAAATGCCCAAATTTAGTCTCACAATTTCCAGATCACAATCACGAAGTTATGGTCCCAAAGCAAAGGTTCAAAGTCGTAAATAATAAATAATATAGTTCTAAAATATCCAAAAACTAAGATTCCTCATCCCACCCCATCATTTATTATGTTTTCCTTTTTTAAATTGTGTTTTCCTATCTAACGTTTATCTCTGTGATAAATTATCTTTGTGGTCATTTTAATTAACCGTCACTAATGAAGGCACTAAATTTTAGAAAGCTAAAAAACAAACAGTTGACGATACAGAAATGTGTGAGGAACTCACAACTTGATAGCTTCTGATACTAGTATTCTGTTAACACTAGCTTCTCTACGTAGCTGCTCGTTAGCTTTTTTACACCGCTCTATCTTTGCATTATAATCCATAGCGACTTTAACTTGGTAACTTAGCTGTTGAAAGAGGTTTATCGATTTAGATGAATTCTCAGGATGCACAAGATACAAGTATTATAAGTAGTACATTGGTGAAATCAAGAGTTTCAGGTATTGTAAATGTTCATAGAATAAATACATAGTAAATAGGCAGCAAATCAAGGAAATATTGTGGGATATATATAGACAATATAAACTGCGTGACTAGCAGAAATGTGGGCAGTTGCAAAATATATCTGTGGACCGCCCCGCTAAAATTTTAGCAGGGGAAGTGGGGGCAGTTGCCACTGAATGTGGGTTTTGGTTAATAATTTCACTATTTAAAAGATGTCTGCAGCGTTTTTAGCACAAGTTTTGAAAAAAACTTCAAATTGGGGAAGGGGAAGTTGTGAGGGTGGCACAAAGGTATATTACGTGTCATTTAGTATCAATCAAAGCAAGCAAAACAATATCTTAAATAGAACCTATCCTTATTTTCTCTTGAAATTGTTGTTTTCTTTTGGTTTGATGTCTTAGGGGATTTGGAGTAACTAGAGAGGGACTGGTGCAGGTGTGCATATAATTTTTACAAAAATACATCAAGAAGATTCAAGGGTGATACGGGATTGGAGGGTGCAGACCGTGAGGACCCACCCTTGCCTACTGAATTCTTGATCGGATAGATCCTATGCGAACTCAGTTGTTTATACTCCAAGTCCGTTTGTTAAAAACTTATTTTTTTAGTAGCACAATTATGAATATGTACGACTTAATAAATGTGAGCTGCTGCAATCTATGGTAGTCATGATAGCATGAAAACGTTGTATCTCGAGGCCACCCACTTATGATTCGACTAGTTTCAGCTTTTTATGGCCATCCACAAGTGAGCATCACCTAGCAGATTGGAAAATGTGCTAACAAATAATTATTTCTAATATGTTTTATCATCCAAATACATTTCTAGGTACACAAAGAAACAGCTGTACGAAACCATTTATATTATGTGCCCCATATTAGAATCATAGTATAGCAATTTTTGTTACTTACTAAAAAACATCATTGTCCAACCAACATGAACATTACTGTCCGACCACAGTGAATGAAAACATTTTCAAAATTTGATTATTTATTGCTAAAAATTCATAATTTTAACTCAAAAAGTCAAAAATTTCCTGGGGTCTCCGACAATCAAATGGAAAAAAATATGTATTTAAATTATTTTTCTATTTACTGCAATGATATTTTGTAGACACTTGTGATGATGTTATGTCATAATCTTTACTTACTTACTTATTTGTATTATTGTAGCGCAATGCGTTACTACATACTAGGCCGCACCATCTACAACAATTACTGAATCATCTGCATCCATCCATAAAGTGATTTACAAAATTACACCTAATCCTCGTGTTATGTCTTGGTTGTATCACGTGGTGACCCCCTCTGTCGCTTCACTGTAGAGTTTCGACGATACAGGGGAGCCGCGCACTCGTGTGCGGCGGGTCATACAACGTATGACAATGTCTTGGTTATGTCTCGGTGTTCACATAAACGATACTTGGCGGTTGAACTGTGGTGTCTGACGTTTGCAGCTAGATTGGACTCTGATATTATGTAAATTTAGCAAATTTGTATACAGTATAGTGTATAATTTTTTTAGTGTTTATCATACTCTGCAACTTGGTAGCGCAGCTGACACAAAAACTAAATGTTGGCATGGCTTGTTCATAACTTAGTAAATAACACGCACTCCGATAAAAGCCGTCTGGAGAAACTCCGCAAAATGTTCATTAGTGAAACAAATTTTAGTAAAACAAATTTAAAATTTTATCCTTTATTTTACAATCATAATATAATAATATTTATAAGCCTCCGTTTTGAAAGTTTAAATTTTAATATACCCAGGAAACCTTACTGGCCAACGGGCGCGCCATCAATATGATAATTTCGACACTGCTGAAGTCGCCGCGCGTGTCTGTCATGTAAATAGCCATTGCAATCCATGTTTGGATCGCGCGCGCATAGAGATTATGTCAATTACAGTATCAATTCGATCGAAATGTATTTAAAATCATTGAATAATGATAGTAAAAATTTAATATTCAAAAGTATTTTTGAATTTTTAGTTTTCGTTCGAAAATGATAGTAAAAATTTAATATTCAAAAGTATTTTTGAATTTTTAGTTTTCGTTCGATAAAACAGATTTTACAGCTCAAAAACAGAATTTTCAACTTTTAAAAAGTAATTCTTTACGCCGCGCTGATATGTATTACTGTACTAATTTGCGCTCTTATTTAGTGAACTATGTCCGCAGTAACTTGGACCCATTACATCGAATTAATCTAAATCCAAAAATTTATGAAAAACTATTTAATAACAAACAAATCCATGGTGAATAACTGTTGGAATACACCAAAGTAAAATAAGTGTCTTGATAATAAAGCTTGAAAATGTAGTTGAAACGACAGCGAAATTTATATAATTCTTTTGATTTGTCAACAGATTAGCTGATCTCATAGCCAGAAAGAGGAAGAAAGATTTCCTGATCCTCTTGATTGATTTCAAAGACAGTTTAGTATAGTCCAGTCATTTAAGGACAGCTGCCTGCAAATCTTCAGATACTCACGAAACTTTGCACAGACCTTCCCAAAGGTATGAATAAACGATTTTCGGTTGGAGACATTTTTTTTACCGTGGGCAAAACCCAGGAGGTCCACGCCCATATTGACCCAATAACGTAACTGACCCCTTGTTTCTGAAGGTCGTAGAGACTTCAAAATAAGCTTAAACGAAGCCGCATATGCATGTTTATATAAAAGTTATTGATCAACACATGGCCTAAAATCCTTACTTTTCGAGAAATTCGCCAAAAAACCATTTTGGGCGTGGCGCTGAGCCCATTTTACCAACTTTTGATAGGATTGTGATAGAGTCTTTGGAGGGAGTGCAAAAGAACCGCAATTGGCATATTTATATATGACTTACAAAGAAACATATGCCTTAAAGTGCTTGCTTTTTCAGTTATTGGCGAAAAACTGATTTTCGGTTCCAGAAATCATGCAAAAATATGGGTATCTGGTATATTGGGCTATGAAGGCCCTAGAGATTTTTGAATTAGTGCAAATTGTGCAGAATGGCCATGTTTATATACAACTTATGAAGCAACATGCACCCTAAAATGCTTACTTTTCGAGTTATTTGGGGAAAAAACAGAGAAAATTTGCACAAAATAGAGCAAACTTGGTTATATCAGCCATTTTTGCCTCCCGTTCTATGTTAATAACTCGAAAAGTAAGCATTTTAGGGTGCATGTTGCTTCATAAGTTGTATATAAACATGGCCATTCTGCACAATTTGCACTTATTCAAAAATCTCTAGGGCCTTCATAGCTCAATATACCACATACCCATAGTTTTGCATGATTTCTGGAACCGAAAATCAGTTTTTCGCCAATAACTGAAAAAGCAAGCACTTTAAGGCATATGTTTCTTCGTAAGTCATATATCAATATGCCAATTGCGGTTCTTTTGCATTCCCTCCAAAGACTCTATCACAATCCTATCAAAAGTTAGTTAAATGGGCTCAGCGCCACGCCCAAAATGGATTTTGGCGAATTTCTCGAAAAGTAAGGATTTTAGGCCATGTGTTGATCAATAACTCTTATATAAACATGCATATGCGGCTTCGTTTAAGCTTATTTTGAAGTCTCTACGACCTTCAGAAACAAGGGGTCAGTTACGTTATTGGGTCAATATGGGCGTGGCCCTCCTGGGTTTTGCCCACGGTAAAAAAAAAGTCTCCAACCGAAAATTGTTTATTCATACCTTTGGGAAGGTCTGTGCAAAGTTTCGTGAGTATCTGAAAATTTGCAGGTACACCTCCATAAATGTCCATAAATGACTGGACTAGTAAGTTAAAACAATTCGGTACAATAGCCAAATTTCTATTTAAAAAACCTTATCAAACTTCCCAGTGGAATAAAAATTTATAAAACGCTTTTTTGCCACGTAAGAATGAAACCAAAAATAGATATGGATAAATATGTTAAAAGGAAATAATGAAAATAAAGAGCAAAGAGTAGTAAAAATGTAATTGCTGCATATCGTTAGTTTGACAACAAACTCGTCCAGTTTAATTCGAGATAGCGCTCGATTTTTGATATATACGTAATGTCGGATTATTTAAATGTACGTGATGATAAATTTGCGCAGCGTGTATTTTACTATGTATTATTATTTCATATCCAAATATAAATGCAATTGCAATTGCAATTTTTGTGTGCAGAAATACAACTATTTTTAATTTGATATAATATTTATATAAAAACAATTCAACTAAATAAAGCAACGTTTATTTTTAGTATAAAATATTGCTCTAACCAGAGCCCTCTCGCTTGCAGTAGCGCGTGACCGCCGAAGCTTATATTCTACTTGTGAAACAAGCGCGAAAACAACAATTTATAATATGTTATACATTATAGCAATATTATAAAGAAAAAACTTTTAAATACGCAATTAAACCAATATTTACGGTTACTTAATTTGCTATTTTATTGTTTGCTCTACTTTAACGGGTGATACTCGTAAAATATCTGTTCCATATATTGTATATATATATATATATTCAGATTTTTCGTTTTCGATATTGCAAATTTTTAATAAATCATGTTCAGATTATGGTGATAATGGATGTAAAGGTACTTCAACCGAATTAACAATCCAACCGTGTGTATGACGTGTCCCAGTAGCCAATCATAATATATGTATTTCTACCGGTGGCACATACTGGATGGCGGTTAGATGAGTACACTACTCTCACAAGCATCTCGAGTCTCTCGGTGATCCTGCCTCCACACCACACTCAGTCTGGACTCCCTTCCGGCCGACCGAACTATTTTCCTAATATCTCCTAATATAACTTTGATCGAACAAGCCTAAATTCATGATGCATATAAACTTGATTTGAGACAGAAATTTTAGACAATTTATCTGCTTACGTGTAATTTCAAACTCTTATCAGTTACCATGTCTTTTATCTAAT